AGGGTTTGTTCCAAAGCTTTAATTTTCAATTATTATTATATATAACACAAATATATAATATTATAACATATATATGTATGAGGTATAAACCCCATTAATGCTTAAGAATTTTGAATAGTTCATGGAATTAATATTCTCCTACAGCTAGCATCATTAATAAAACTCTTGATCATTGATTAAATTTAATTGCTGGTTTATTCATAGATTCTTGGCCAATTCATTAAATTAATAGGGTTTTAAATAATACTAATTAGAAATTTAGAAGAGTGTGTGACAGTTATTTTTAATTTAGATTAAGTTAATTTTATAGGTGAACATTTTTGACATTGACCACCTCCAATTCATACTAAAAACAAAAATTAACAAAAGTCCACTTGATTTAAATAATTATTGAATTTTATTTAATAAATCTGCTCTGCCTCCTTGTGCATATATATATATATATATGATGTATATACGCAATTTTTTCTTTTTAAAAAAAAAAACAGACATTTCCTGGTCGGTACAAACGAAATTGGTGGCGGAGTGAAGAGATGTAATGAATTGAATACGGCGTCTAATAAACGAAATTCGTGGAGATCTTTGTCATTAATAATTCGTATGTATAGACACCTCCTTAATTAACGGAGTTGCTAAACTGACTTTTTTTTTTTTCCAATCATAATATAAATGATTTTAATATCTACTTTTGTCATTTTAATCCAATATAAAAAGCTAGTTATGTCATTTTTGCTTCAACCTCAAACCCCTGTACCAAACAGAAATCCAGCACCACACGTTAATACACTTCCTGCCAATTTTCAGAATTTACTAGATATTGCCTCTACCTCACCCTTCCATTCTTCATTAAATGAATGGATAATTGATTTAAGAGCTACGGACCATGTAGTTAGTTTAATAGAAATGTTTGTTTTGTGTAGACCCGTGACCGATATATTTGTAAAATTACCTAACTCTGTGACAATTCTTATTACCTTCGTAGGTGATGTATATATTTTGCCTATGTTAACCTCTTACAATACATTTTACACACCGAACTTTGCTCTCAATTTTATTGCTTAACCTTTCATGATCGTTTTTGTGAAATCCAGGATGAACAAACTAAGGAGAGGATTGGTTTAGCTAAAAATAGGCAAGGATTGTATTACTTTGAGGCACCAAATACAAAAAAAGCAAGCACTGTCAATGTTATAAAATCATGTTTCTTTGATTGTTTCTTTGCAAATTTTGGTTTTTCTCACTGTAATAATGTTGTTAATACTCATATTCTTTGGCATTATCGTCTTGGTCACCCTTCCACATCAAGACTTCATACAATTCATCAATTAGACAAATCAATTTTTTCTTATACTTCTTTTGTTTGTGTCATTTGTCATCTTGCGAAACAAAAAAGACTTTCATTTCCTGTGAGTAAATCAATGAGTAAATTTTGCTTTGATATTGTGCATATTGATATTTTGGGTCCTTTATCTGTTTTTTTTATATGGTCATCGTTATTTTTTTACCTTTGTTGATGATAAGAGTCGGTTTAAATGGTCTTATGAAATCAAAAGGAGAAGTCAGAACAATTATTATTCAATTTTTTTGCATATGTTAAAACCCAACACAATGCAAAAATCAAATGTGTTCGTATCGATAATGGTCAAAAGTTTAAGATGAATGATTTCTTTGCCACTAAAAGAGTGATACAACAATATTCTTGTCCATACACACCACAGCAGGATGGTGTGGTTGAAAGAAAACATCAACATATTTTAAATATGACAAGATCTTTGATGTTTCAGGCTCTTCTACCCAACTAATTTTGGGTTGATTGTGTGCTGCATGCAGCCTATTTGATCAACTTATTGCCCTCTTCAGTCATCAACAATAAGTCTCAATTTAAACTTTTATTTCACACTATCTTCAAATATCAACACTTGAAAATATTTGAATGTTTATATTACGCATCCAACCTTAGTCCTGACGAGTCTAAGTTTGATCATAATCCTTTAAATGTATTTTCTTTGGTTTTCCTTCACACATAAAGGTATAGAGTATACGATATTCAATCTCAAAAGATCTTTGTTTCCCAGGATGTCTATTTTGTTGAGCATATTTTTCATTTTTTCCCTTCTGTCAATAACAATACAAGTAATTTTATGTTTCCTTACGTTGATGGATTAATAACAGAAAACAATGACTTAATTCAAACTGTGCAGGATCAAGGTAATGTAGTTTCAAGCCACTCTAGCGAGCCAACTTCTTCTGATAACATTTCCTTACATTCCTCAGTCGATATTTTTATTTCTTTGTATCTCTACCATTAGATATTTCTAAAATAGAACTTATTTGTTCACAAAATTCCAACTCCACAAAACCTATATATGATAAACATATTCCTTTACAAACCAGGTGGTCTACTAGACACATAAAGCAACCATTTCATTCGCATGATTACTATCTATATGGTCTTAGATCTTGCATCAATTCCATTTCTACCCCACATTGTATTTCTCATATACTTTCTTATAACAACTTGGACCTAGTACACAAGCCCTTTGTATTTGCTATATCCTAAGATGTAGAACCTAACTCCTACATTCAAGTAGTTCAATTTACATGTTAGAAAGATGTTATACTAGTTGAAATTAACACCCTCGAAGAGAAGAAGACTTGGGAATTAGTTGATTTACCTCCTAGTAATAAATCCGTTGGTTGTAAGTGGGTATATAAGATAAAAAGAAAGGTTGATGCCTTGATTGATAGATATAAGGCCAGGTTAATTGCTAAAGGCTATACTCGACAATCTGGTATTGATTTTTTAGATACTTTTTCTCCAATTGCAGAATTAACCACCATTCGTACTATGTTGGTTGTGGCTACAGTTAAAAGATGATATTTACATTAACTTGATATTAATAACGTTTTTCTTCATGGTGATTTGTACGAAAAGATGTACATGACTCTCCCCTTAGTTTTCATGGTTCAGGTAATCAGGTATGCAAACTTATTAAAAGTCTTTATAGTCTTAAACAAACAAGTAGGCAATACATTTCAAGTTGACTGAAACTTTGAGAAATTTTGATTTTATGCAATTTAATTCAAATTCTTCATTATTTTTTCATTGTTTAGAATCTTCTTTTATTACTCTTCTTGTATATGTTGATGAAGTGATATTGACAAGTAATTGCATAGTTCAAATTTTGATGGTGAATAATTTTCTTTATAATGAGTTCAAGATTAAAGATCTTGGTAAACTCAAATATTTCTTGGGACTTGAAATCATTTGTTCTTCCAAATGTATTAATGTGAATCAAAAAAATAAACTTTGGATTTACTTCGAAATACTGTCTTCTTAAGTTGTAAATCGGCCTCGACGCCCATGGCTTCATCAACAAAATTAATTCAATATGATGGTTCCCCAGTTGTTGATGTTACATCATACACGAAGCTTGTTAGTAAACTTTTGTATTTCACCGACACTCAGCCTAGTATTAGCTATTCAATTCAACAACTCTCACGATTTCTTGATGCTCCGACTAAGATCCATTTGCAAGCTGCACATGGGGTCTTGAGGTATTTGAAGGGGACACCATGATAGAAATCTTTTATTCAGCTCATACATCATTGCATCTTAAGGCCTTCAGTGATTCTGATTGGGCCTCTTATGCAGATTCTAGTAAATTTTTTACAATTTTTTGTGTATTTCTTGATGATTTTCTTATTTATTGAAAAACTAAAAAAGCAATCCACTGTTTCTTGGTCTTGTTCTGAGACTTAATATTGAGCTTTAGCCATATTTATTTTTGAGTTACAATTGTCATATTTTCTACTTGCTAACCAGCGTATCACTTCTCCAACTACTGCTCTATATTATGATAACTTGTCAGCTATTAAGATTGCAGAAAATCCTGTATTTCATGAGTGCACCAAAGCATATTAAAATCAATTATCATGTCGTATGACAAAAGATTTTAAAAGGTCTCATCCGCTTGTTACCAATTTCTTATTCATATAAACTTGTAGATTATTTCACGAAGGCGCTTCCCTCTTCTCAATTTCAAAACTTCATTGTCAAGTTTTATATACAGAATCTGTATACTCCAACTTGAGGAGGGCTATTAGAATATATAGTTAGGGATATAATTGTAATTATGTACAGAGTTAGGGTTAAATTTGTCATTCGTATTTCTTATATAAATACTCAATTGTTGTTTATCAATAAAATAATCTTCTCATTTTCCAAACACAGTGTAAACTCTCTTCTTCTCTCAATTCTGCCTTTTCTTTTCTTCTCTTCAAATCCATTAACTTTTCAGTTCGAACTAAAATTTGAATTGTGATTATTCACAAAATTAACAAATTTAGAAGTATAAAATTAAAATTAAATTTTAATTTACTATAAAATATACACTATATAATTTTTAGGTATAAAAATAATTTTGATAAATATATGATAATTATAAAATTTAATTTTTAGTGAACTACATTGTGTATTATATAATTAATTTATAAAATTATAATACAGAGACTCATATCTAAGTTGTATAGAAAAGAGTACTTTTTATTTTTTATTTTTTCTCGTTCTATATTATACGACGGCGTTTGGGCCTAAATTATGGTTTACACTCAACCGTCCAAACACCCGAAAAGAGAAACCCCTTGAAGAATTAGTAGGCCTTGGGGGGTGCTCATGGTGCAACAAGTTTGCTCCAGTTCACGTCTGGGCCTTGGTGGTTTATTTCTTGCAAAGTTCTTTTTTTTAAAAAAAAAAAAAAAAAAAAAAAAAAAAAAAAATTCCGTACTTGTACTACACACATTTTATAATTAATAAAATAAAATTCTTAAATTAAAATATGTAAGTGGTTGTAGGTTTTCTGAATTCATTATTTTAAATAATAGAATAAAAATTTATAATAATTTTATATTTTACTAATCACTAATTAATAATAAAATACCATATAAATACACACTAATTACATGATATAAATTTTGTGCGGTGGCTAACGGGTTTAGTTTCGCTAACCAACTAAACTTACAGCCACACACAGAGCAAGAACCACAGCCTACTACGTAGCAGCTCCTACCAAATTTCTTCGGTGAATTTATTTCTTCTCACCTGTCAACATACTTTTCCAACTACTACAGACCACAATATCTCTCTACCTACCACCTCCAGCTAAATATGCTCTATTTTTTATTATTATTTTTTAAATTTTTATGCATTTCAATAATTAATTATACCATTTATATAATTTATTAATAACTAAATTAGTAAGAGTAACAAAATTTTAACTCTAACCTCTGATTAACCAACAGCATTAACGAACACAAGCAACAACCTCCCCGTGTGATCCTTAAATATGCAACAAACTTGAGACAATTGCAAAGAGACCCAAAAAAGCCGGCACGTAAAATGGAAGAGACTCATAAACACGTCGCCGTTTTCGCCTTCCCATTCACCACCCACGCAGCCCCTCTCCTCAACGTCGTTCGTGCAATCTCCTTGGCCGCACCCGACGTTGACTTCACCTTCTTTGGCTCTGCAAAGTCCAACGCATCGCTGTTCCCACGAGGAGAAGCGGAAGGCAAGATCAAGCCTCACGACGTCTGGGACGGTTTGCCTGAAGGCTATAAACCCTCCGGCAACCCCGAAGAGCCCGTTGATCTGTTCTTCAAGGCGGTTCCGGGGAATTTTTTGACCGCTGTGGCCGAGACAGGCTGCCGGTTTAGCTGCTTACTGACCGACGGTTTCTTTTGGTTTGGGGCCGATGTGGCGGACCAGTTGCATGTCCCGTGGATACCCTTTTGGACGGCCGGCCCTCGAGCCCTTCTCCTTCACGTCGATATCGACGAAATCCAGCGACGTATGGGAAATGATGGTAACTCCATAACCAAATTTATTTTCTAGAATTATGTTATTATATGCTTAATCATCTTTTTTATTACTATATAGAAATTATTTTTTTTTGTTGGTACATGCTATTTATAAACTTTAATGCGTACAAGTGGGTTTCATAGTAGAATAAAGTTAAATGCATGGTGTTAACTATCTCCTCGTGAAATCTGCAAAAGTAGGTGCACGTATTACTTCATTATGAGTATCTAACAGAAGTTTTAACGCTAAGATCGGTTCATAAAAATATATCTCTCTCTTAATTTTTAAATAATATGTAGTAAAGTTGTGTAAATATATGTATAAAAAATAAAAAATGTGTATAATATATTTCATAAATATCATTAATATATTTTAAGTTTTGTTTCTATAATTTTCTCTAAAAATTTAAAATAAAATAAGTCATATTTATATTATACTCGTTTATCTATGCTCTTAAATACTTGCGGCTCCATTTGAAGCACTTTTTGACTTTAATTTCTACATTTTAAGAGTATTTTCGCAAACAATGGCAAAGTAAAAGGTGATTTTAGCAAAAGTTAAAAGTTGAAATCTGCTTTTTTATATATTTAAATACAAAACTATAATTTGTAACTTCAGAAAATTTATTTTGACTTCTAATAAAAATTTTATACTTCACATTTCAAAAATAATTTTCACCAAATACATAATTTTTGTTTTTTTTTAAATTACAACAATTTTATAGTTATTTTTATAAAAATATTAGACAATTTCTAATTAAGAATTTTTTTTTACTAAATAATTATTTTAACAATATTTTTAAAACATATAACACAAGTTACATTTGTTCTAAATACACACTTCATAACTATTCTTTATATATATATATATATATATGGGATAATTAAATATAATTTTTTTATACAAAGAAAGATGAAACAAAAGATGAATAGAAAGAATACCTTGCCATTTATGCATCTTGAATTAAAATTGAATAAGCTTTATCTATTATAGTTGAGTTAATGTTTGAGCTTTTGCATTACAGGGTACTTAATATCATGGTTAATATGAGTATTGATAGTTGTATAAGAAGTAAATTGAAAGTGAATCCAATAACATGACATATATAAATATGTCGTTAACTTAATTGATAATTTGATGTGAGAATTATTATCAGTATTAATTTTTAATTGTAACAAATAAAATCGAATAAAGTACTCTAATATTTATATTTATTTAACTTTTTTTCTAAAATTTATTATGAATTTGGTTGATATATAATTCTTTTTTTAAAAAATAAAATTTAATTCTTTTTTTAACCGCATCAATTGAGGATTATAATTTATAAATTTAACATTAATGCATTCTTCTTGCAGTTCTTGAAGACAAAACTCTCGATTTTCTTCCAGACTTCTCTACAATACGCATAGTTGACCTACCACAAGGAATAATAGCTGGAGACTTTGAAGCCACTATTCCATCAGTGCTAAATAAGTTAGGAAAATATTATCCACGAGCAGTAGCAATTGCCGCCAATACATTTGAAGAGTTAGATCATATCGTTGTCAACGAGCTCAAATCAAGATACCAAAAGTTTCTAAGCATTGGTCCCTTGGCATTAACAACCCCAATGTCATTCTCTTCATATTTTGATGAATATGGCTGCTTAGAATGGTTGGACAAGCAAAAATCAACATCTGTTGCCTATATCAGTTTTGGAAGTGTTGCAATACCGCCTAAATTGGAGTTGTTGGCTATAATTGAAGCCTTAGAAGATAAGAAAATCCCATTTCTTTGGTCATTTAGGGACAATCTTGAGGAACACTTGCCACAAAAATTAATACAAAGAATTAACAAATACGGAAAATTTGTCCCATGGACTTCTCAGTTGAAAGTTTTGTTACATCGAGCTGTTGGGGTGTTTCTAACACATGGTGGATGGAACTCTATTTTAGAAAGTATCATTGCCGGTGTACCCATGATTTGTAGGCCATTTTTTGGTGATCAAGTATTGAATATGAGGTGTATTGAGGCTGTATGGGGGATCGGTGTGGGGATTGAAGGTGGAAAATTCACGAAAGATAGAACTCTTAAGGCTTTGGAATTTATATTTCATAGTGAAAAAGGGATAAAAATCAAACAAAAAATTGAGGTTCAAAAAGAAATTGCATGTAACACTGCACTAGCATATGGCAGCTCTATTAAAAATTTTAGGACTCTTGTAGAAATTATCATTAAGTAGATCCGTTATAGTTTAATATATATTTGTCATATTAGAACATTTTGTTTTGTACTAGTTGCAGATTTAGATATTGTAGTCATAGTGTATTTTTCTCTTATGTTTATCTTGTAGTAAGTGTTTTGCATCAATATGTTAGTGAGTTTTGCAAGTTTGTTTTTATTAGAATTCTTATTGGAATAAAGAAAATGAAGTAATGAAAGGAGAAAAACGAGAATGTACCATTGACGAAAGCAATTCGCTCGTAGCTTTAGTGTGTGTTTGATCATTTCTTTCTTAGATGTAAATTAGTACAGCCAAAAAACTGACATCTTTATAACGAACTAAAAAATTTGATCTAACTTTTTTTTTTATTAAATAAAATAAAATAAAACCCAAGTCTTTTCTCGCAAACACAGCATTTTAACTATACTTTTTTTTTTAATAAGAAACTCTTCTTGAGATTAACCACAACCATTAATAAGCTACTAATTTATTTTATTAATTTTTTTTTTTTTCTCTTGATGCCTCATTGAAGCACCTTCCAATCTTACTCTTTAACACCTTACAATTTTACTCACCGGCTGAAGGCTTTCTTTTTAGTAACGGATGCAAACACCCCAGAATCAGATAGGATGCAGGGAATAAAAAAAAAAAAAAAAAAAAAAAAAAGGAAACAGAAAGGGAGCAGGAAGGGGAAAATGAAACTGACCGCACAGAATTCCTACCCGAAATTAATATGGGCCACGTGGCAGGATCTGAGTTGTTAACTCGGTTAATTGCAGATTGATGATCTTGAATTGTAATAATTCAGTACATATTCATAAACTTCTTGATTGTATGTATACATTTTGATCGAAGTAGAAAATTTATTGAACAATAATTGAAGAAAGTTGGTGTTTCAAATATATATAAATATATATATATGTATATGTATGTATAAGATGAGAATTGTATAATTATTTTTAGAATCTGTTTCTTTTTTCATTAAATTGTAGTAGGCAATAATTGAATGTGTTGTGTTTAATTCACTAGTAATTATTTCATTGCTTGCTTGTTCGTTCTGAAACGGTCCACGTAGCATGGCCCATTTATTGGTTGACAATGGCAATTGGTGATGACAGGCCCATACACGTCTATCTAAATTGTTAATGTTACATTCATCTGTAACATATATATATATATATATATATATATATATAATCAGTATAATCACATGTCATTTTTATTTTTTAAAAAATAATATAATATGTGTAATAAATAATTATTTAATTAAATATTTTTAAATATAAAAGTGTAATTTAACTTTTAATTAATGATTTGATGTGATAATATATATAGTATTTCTTTTTGTTATAATTTTTAATTACAAAAAAGAGAATATAATTTGTCTTTGACTACAAATTATTCACTAAATTTCTAAATGTGTTAAAATAAAATTTATGTGAATAATATAGGATTTATTTTATGCGGTGATTAATATGTATAATAGTTATTATTTAAATTAAATAAAACTAATTTTTAATTATCAATAAATTATGTATTAAATAGTTTTTAAATGAAAATAAAATTAATATAATAACATTTATATATATAATCGATTTTTAATTAACGATGATATTAAAATTAATCTATTTCTTCTCACATTTCATTCATCCCGTAGATCATTTACCAATTCTACATAATTTCTTCTCACATAAAATAATACTTAATTCCATTGTTTTTATATAATTATAAAAAATTTAGATATATATTATGGGAGTAACATAAAGATACTAATCTAGTTTCATTTATATAGTTTAGTTTATGGTAATTATGTTACCTGCTTATTGTAATAATTTTTAATCTTATCATTGTATTGAATGTTGTTTTTTTTAAAGAGTTTTATAAATGAAACACCCACGAAATTATAAAAAACAAAATTAACAGATATTTCTATGTAAAAAAAAATGTAGCTATAGAGTTTCTATAGCTATGATATATGGTGTTCAATAAGTTACTTTGGTTCGAACTGGGTGCTAAGATAAAATTGATTCTGTTAATTACTAATTAACTAATATTGACTAGAGGTAATTTTTGAAATGGTGTTCATCAAATTATGTTGGATTGTAAAAAAAATTCATGGGCTAAAACATACAATTTGTAATGATTCTTAAATTTAGATAATACTTAATTTTTAATCCTCTATTTTTATTTTTTGGTTGATAGAAAATCAAAGTAAAATAAATTTGTTAATGAATCACAAAATATTAAATAAATCTTTTTGAGTTTATTCAGAATTATTACAATATTTAAAAATGTATGATGGGGAAGCAATAGCAAATTACATGAGGAAAATAAAATGGTCCACAAGCAAATCATGATTTCGTAGTAATATTAGTGTTGCTTTATGTCAGTTTGATCTTTATTTCAATTTTCAAAGAATATATATATATATATATATATTATTTAGTGATTGGGTGTACTTCAATGGTCTTAAATATGTGATATAATTCTTCTTTTCAGATTGATAATCTGCTTTCAACCCATTGTTTTAGACTTATTTGAGGACATATATAGTCAAAACTCCACGGAGCTAGCTTCTGATGAATTAATTCCATCTTGTGATTTAACTATTAGTTCTCTGTGTGCGTGTGTATGTGTCTGTGTGTATATATATATATATCTCTACACGCACATATATCAAAATATGTTTTTGGAATATGATCATTTTGACCGCAGACTGGGTATAAGAACCTGCAGAAGATCAATTGACAATGATGGAAAAATAATTAGATCGATCTAAGCCGACACAGACAGACAATTTAACATTATTATTCACACAATTTACAAGAACCTATTACATCAAACTGTCTTATCAATGACTGATAAGCTTATACAAACTCCCTAATTCAGTTCTCAATTAATTACATATTGTAACCCAACTCATAATCTTGAAACATCCCATGATCTGAACCAAGCACAGATGTTGAATCCCAAGAGTTAGAAGATGCCGATTTCGTATCAAATTCATTTGACCACCAAACCAAGCTGTCCTTGGATGACCCGTTTATCTCCTTGAAGCAATCAAATTCATCACCGATTTGATCTTGATCAACCTGACTTGCAAAGCCACTACACAAGTTCTTATTGTTCAGAAAGTCGTCCAGTAGCATTTCAGCTTGAAAGTTTGGAACTTGGTGGAGTAATTCAGATTGTTGCATGTTCCCCATTGTTGGATCCAAGGAAATTGAATTGATATTCCCAGTTGCAAAGTCTGTACTAGAATCAGTTATGTTCAACGAACTCCCAAGTTGATCTTCGACTTTTAGGTGAAGGGAAACAGGTTCATAGAACTGATCAACTTTCTGATCATGCCCGGGTTGTTCCATTTCAGAACCAGCCAAGCTAGCTGATTGCACAAGAGGATTACTATTACTATTATTGTTTTGATTAGGGTTTTGAAGATTCAAAGACTGCAAGCTCTGGTTTATCTTTTCTTGGAGAGGGTGGAGTTTAGGCCACAAAGCGGGATTATTGTAGAAGGAGATAGGGTTTTGCAGGCTCTGAAGCTGCATGTGGAGCTGCAGCCTTTCCAGTGCCGAGTTGCTTAACGTCTGTTGAAATTGATTACTTTCATTTGCTGTGCCATTTGCAGTCTCATTTGGGTCATTGCGATTGCTATTCTTACGCCTTCCCAGTAGCTTCTTCTTCAATCTGGTGTTCCAGTAGTTCTTAATGTCGTTATCTGTTCGACCAGGGAGTTGGGCTGCAATTATAGACCACCTAAATGTTTACACACAACAAAATTTTGATACGTTAAACCCTAGATATATAAAAAAGAAAAAATTCTTTCATAACATAATATTTAAAGAAGAAGAAATGAAGGAAAGAAACTTAGAAAAAAGTTTAGACGCTCGAGATCTGGATTTATGGTGATACGAACTTTTGAAGCAAGGATTTTTGCAGAAGAATCAAGGACAAAGATAAAAGACAAGCAGTTGAGGGTTGTGATATGTATATATACATATGTATATACCTGCTGCCAATACTGATATAGAGGCTGCAGATAATGTTGTCTTCTTCCTCGGAGAATCCTCCATGCTTGATGTTGGGTCTCAAGTAATTCAACCATCTTAGCCTGCAACTCTTTCCACATCTCTTGAGCCCTGCGAATCATTATCCCAAAAAAAGGAAGCAAGATTAATCTTAAATTATCGCTCTACATAAAAATGATCTTTTGTAAGATATACAATATACATGTATAAACGTAACTATATATATATATATATATACCAATTTTTTGGGGAAGAGCAATCCAGTTGCCTCCAGTCCCATACTTCTCGATGTAGGCTTTGAGCTTGGCGTCTTCTTCAGGTGACCAGGGTCCTTTCTTGACATTTGCCTTGTCGCAGCACGGAGCTCGACCCATCCCTTTGTGTGTTGTTTTAATTTGTTGGGTTCAATTGAGGTTATTCTTCGGATTCAAGTTTGAAACAAAAGGTATTTTAATTACTGCCTGAGATTGTTGAGAAAAATCTGGAGAAGGAAGACTAAGATTTATAGAAGAGAAGAGTGGGTGATGTGACACTTATAAGGACAAATTTTTCTTTTAAATAATCTCTCTCTCTCTCTGCCATAATTCAACACTGTTTCTTTCCTCTAGGGTTTCTGCAAATTCTCTCTCTCTCTCTCTCTCTCTCTCTCTCTCTCTTTCTCTCTCTCTTCCTTTTTGGATTAGTTTGGTCATCAATAATAAATTAAGGAAGCAACTGGGCAAATTGTTAACGAAATTGTTCTTCTCTTTTGGCATAATAATAAAGTAATGGACTAGTGCCTTTTTCACGTTGAATATACATATATATATATATATGTGAGTGTCTATATGTGCATATAGTTTATTGTTAATTTGAAATCAAAGTTGTAGGTATCTGATCAAAAGAACCCTCTGTAATGTCCTCATAGTCCTGCCCCATATGATATTGAAATTCAAGTGTTCCATGAATGGAGCCTAGTTTATATCATCATGCTTAGACCGTACAAAGTTAGGTTATGGAGGACAGTTAAATTAAACAGTTGATAGCATAAGTAATTAACAACAGGAGTTAAATCAATTTAGTTGGATTGAAATATTTTATCGATGTTCACTAAAAAATATATTTTTAGTGAGTTTTTTTCAATCGATCTAAGTACATAATATCTACTTTGATAGGTACATTTTATATCCATAAATCCAAAATATGAACAATATTTTATAAAATTGAAATATTATAGAACATGATTTAATCAACATAAAGAAATAAAGAACTTTTATTTAAGAACAACTTTAACTATGTTCGGATCAAAATATGGTTAAACTTTATGAAGACATTTCGTTTGTTAAGTTTCGATAGACAAATTAAGACATTAACATACAAATTATAATGCCATGTCTAGAGAGCAGGAGTCAACAAATTAGGGCATATAGCAGAGCGGAATCCTTGGAGCTTATTAGGATATTCGAAAACATGTTGTATGATGAGCAAATAGTGCATGTATAAACTTTTGCATTGATTTGTTTTATCTTCATAATTTTTGTGTTGGTAAATTCTATTATATATATATATTTTTAGTACGTGTCAGTAATAGTACTCTACCTGACTCTTGTTTATATTTATCAGATTATTTTATATATGTCTTTTCATTTATATTTTTTTAAAAGTGTTTAACTAGTTTCTTTTACTGTAATGAATCTTTTAATTTTTTAAAAATTACTTGAAAGTTTAATACAAATGAAAATACAAAGTTCTGGCAATTGACTATTTTTTTTCTTTTTAAATTTTTTGAGCTAATTAATTATTAAATAAAATCAGTTTACTTGAATTAAACTAGTTTAAAGATTTGTGAAAATATACATGCATAATTTTTTTTTTCATTTTAATTTATTAGACTTGTATCATTTATGCTAGCTAGTGAATCCATTGACTAAGTTTACAAGAAGGCCATTGTTCATTGACCTAAGGCACGTATTATATAATATAGTAAATGCGTAATTCAAATCACAATCACACACACAGATATCTATATATATATATATATATATATATGTATGTGTGTGTGTGTGTGTGTATTAATATGACTTGAATATTCCGACATCAGGTTGATTATTCTAGTCAATTATAGGGCCACGTAGTCTATGTTTCATTAGTTAAAAATTAAGATTATGATTTCTATCAAAACCCTTGATTAATTAAGTGTTACAAGTTGGATAATTTAGTGTATGGTATATAACTTTACATTAAACAATTGAAGTAAAAGAAAAATAATTAAATAATTTAAAGAAAAAACCAAGAGGAAAGGAACATTGAGAATTAATTCAACCCCTTAAGAAAGAAGAGGAAAGCAGTATTCATTGACTTGGTTTTCCTATTCTAATACTTTTAAATTCTTAATTAATAAAAAAAATTGGATTAGAAAAATAACAAGAACCACAACTAGAAGGAAATAACAAGAAGAAAACTATCAAAAACCCAAAAGCAATCTCTGCTAATTCAAAATTAATTAATTAATTATCATCTTAATTTATAATTAAATAATTATTAGGCTGGCTTACGAGATATTAATTAAGAGAATTAGCTTCTCTCTGCTTGTCTTTCCCTAAACCCTAGAATCTCTTGTTTGACACTCCATTAATTCCATCACCAACAAGACCAAAACTAAGGCTCTCTTCTTTTTGAGTGAGAGCTGGTAAAGATAAGAAGATAAGCTCTATAAAATTGGCTTTAATATTATAATTATAATTTGGATTAATGATTGATGCAAAGTAATATTTAACTTAAATTAATCACCCCATATTAGTAATAATAAGTTATACAAATAATTAAATTCTGTACATATATATATATATATACACACACAAATATTAAACTAATTTGACTTTTTTTGCTGGAGAGAATAGTCTTGCTGTTTGTTTCTGTGTACATAATATTTGGGTTCGTGACATATGATCCCAATGACTTTGTTGTGCATAATCCACACAACTTTCAAAGGGAAGGGTAAATTTCAAGAAAGACAACATTGGACTTGTAAATCTTCAAGATGGATGTATTTTGCCTGTAGAATGAATTGGTCCTCATGTCTACTTTTCTCTCTTTCTTAAAATTTTAATTAGATATATATATGTATATATATTAATTATAACATAATATAAAATAACTTTCAGACAGAAACATAGACTATATAAAATTTGTCTTAAAACTTATCAGTCTTTTTGTTAATTAAATTATGACTATAATATAAAAAAAAATTATATTGAAATAAGTGTGATCGCTTATCTAGGCAATATATATATATATATATCTCGCTGAAATAATGCCATGAATTTGATTGAAAGGTAGACCTATAATTTTTGGCTGATCAAAGACTTAGAAATCCAATTATAGACATTTCACCAGTGATTTTCTTGAAATAGAAAATGTGCAATCCAAAATTAATTAGTATTAATTCAAGATTTTCCCCAGTAATATTATTATTAATGCAGCTGCAGCTATGATTCATTGCATGTGAAATCTTAATAGAGTCAAAATTTTGGAACATAATAAAGGAAAACATTAATTTATACTTGATTTTCCAATATGAGAAATTCAGTGCTGAAAAAATTATATTGACTGCAGCTTTGAGTACAAGTCTCCGCTAGTACATTATATAATTGTGAAAAAAATGTCATTTAACTAATTAAGGATTATGTTTATATATAAGCATGCATGCAGCTTTAATCCTTCATGAAATCTCAAATGTGTAGATGCATATATGTATATATGTACACACACACAGGTACTTTTACATGTGTTTCTAAACGATTCTGAACAAGATTATTATTCTTCTTCAAGTTCTTAAGAAAAAAATTATCAGTTCATTATTTCTATCAGTATTTTTATATAGCAGGTTCTTTTCACATGCAAGGGAGAAATTAATATACTTAAGCTTTATATATATATATATATACCTGTATGAAAAATATAAAGTAGTCGCTAGATTTACAAGACTTCAACGTTATAAACGGCTCAATATTATATACGTAATTATATATTTCGACAAGAATTATCATCACATGAACATATATAAAATATATATATACTGGCAAAGATTATCATGATGACCAGTTTCAAAGAAAGAAAAATACTGGAATACCATTAATGTATTATTAATTTATTTATAATCATGCCACCTGTCTGTTTTAGAAATCATTTTTTTAATTAAAAAGGGTAATTAAGCACAGGATTAATTAATGCTTTGAAGAAAAAGAAATCAAAGAGGAAAAAACTGGGAAAGATCACCAATCGTCACAATGGTTGACAAAGATGGATGCCTAGTACTGTAATTAAGTATTCTATGTTAATGACTTGATCAACTTTGTTAACCATATACGCAGATATTAGCAATAATGCATTAATTAAACTATATATATATATATGTGTGTGTGTATATGCATATATATATATATAATACTGTCATTATCTTTTTTTTTTTTTTTGAAAAGTTATACTGTCATTATCTTGATGCACTTTATGTAAAATAAGGAATAAATATGCAACAAAACGGCATATTTGCTGACCTCAAATGGGTCTCTTACCATCTCCCTCTCCCCTCAAGTTACCAACATTTGTCAACCCTAATAACTTATTTTATTTCATTTGTTCTTAATTAATCTTTTGTATTAATTAATAAATCCTTCAAAAATATATATATCTATTAAAGAAACTGACTTTTGCTCTCATTGCTTTCTCCAAAAGTAAAAGTATAATTATACACATACATATATTTTCAGATTATGTAGCGCAGAGTTAATTTAAATTGGGCATGATAATGGCCAAATATTATACTTAAAATGGGGACGATGGATGGAGGGTAATGGTTTCAAACTACATTTTCTTCTTTACTAATCAAAATAGACAGGTTTGAAGAAATCAAGTTAAGAAAATGATGAACAACCTTTCAATATGATTATAGAACTGAATGTATAGAGAGCAATGCCAAGATAGTCTAAGCATACAATTAATTATTCATTAATTAAGTTAAACTTAAATTCTCTTGCACGCAACTATTTAGAATTTTCACAAGATTTGAAGGTGAAATTTTTCTCACACATTCAGTCATCTAGAATTAGTATTTTATGTATTACAAATATTGAATTATTGAAAAGAAACGTTAATTATATTTTTATAAATGATATGATACATATATATATATATATATCACTTAAACTTAATACAATGCACAATATTTCATATATTATCATTATCTAATATAAGTGTAAATTCAAAAATTAATTGAAAAATCTAATTAAGGACGTTAAACATTTAATTACTTAAAATAAAATATTAATCACATAAGTAAATAAACATTTTTTATGCATTCAGCCCAGCGAATAAACACTCTTCAAATTCTCAATTCCTAATCCATTTTCACTTTTACATTGATAACTGTAGTTGACTTCAAGGACTAGTAAAATGGTAACTAACAAATCATTCTTAGACACGTGTAAAAGTCAATGTTCATGTAAACTTTGACCTCCAAACAAAAGGTCTCTCTCTTCCCCGCGTATTAGGTATTTAAACATATATATATATATATATGTATATCTAACAACAGTTTCTAGAGATACCCCCAAAAAAATAATAATAGAATGAGGATGGTGGTGTCATACAATTTGACCTTGAGGATTTGGGTTACCTTAGAAGAGTTGGTGATGCCATGCTTCCTACTTCACCTCCTTAGTTTAATCATTAGCAATAAGCATGCTCTTAATTTGTTTAAGCTCACAAAAGATCTGCTTCAATGGCCACAAGAATCTCAACAACAGGTATAAAGTCAACCCGTCAATACACTCCTCTTACATAAACTAATTCAATTGTGTTCTTGGTTCAGTTGATGTGGGTCATAACCACAGCACCAAACATAGTTTTATCTTTATCCCTCACTCACTAATTTTATTACGTCTTAACTTACTTCAGTTTTTAATTCTTTTTTTTTTTTATAAAAAAAATTCTATTCATTTCATTCACAATAATATATAAACACATACAAAAATAAATATAAAGTGAAAAAATTATGTTTTTTTTTTGTATTAAATAGAAATTTTTAGCCTTTCCATAACACCGTTGACCATGGAATATGCAAAAATTGACTGGTATGGTTACTTTTAAACCAGCTACATCGATAAACTAAGACATTGTGTTTTAAATAAACTGATCAACAGTAACATGCCATCACAATAAAATAAAATAAAAAAAAAAAGAAAAATGAGGAGCTGCAGGACAGAAATTCTGGTCCAAAAGATAGAATGGTTTATTCAGCGACCTCCTTGCAGAATATCAGCGTACATTTTACATCTCGAATAACGGATTATATATTGACATATAAGGATGAAGATTCTGTCAAGCAAAATTCAAGGAAACAAAACAAGGAATTATGACAAACTAAAATCCTAGTTTTGTCATAAATCTTCACTTGCATTATTCTACTCCTCTGATAAAGTTTAGAACATTGTGATCACCACTAAGTTATATACAAATCCTTTCAAAAGGAAAGTTCCACCTGGAATGATGGGTTGGATTCACCTATAGTACCACCATCTCCAATCAAAGCAAAATTGAAAAATCCTGTCGAAGAAGTCAAAATCACCTGTCATTATCAGGAATATATGAAATATAACATTCAAGATTACGTAATGATAAACAAATACAACTCACATTCTTGTCTACACGCATGGTCCCCTTTCCATGCATTACGTAGTCTTCTCGGTATAATCCAACCTAAAGTGGTTCAAGTCGCACTCCATATGAAAAGATACCATGAATTGACTGGCAGTACTACAGGAGGTTCGTCGAAAATGAACCAATGCATAGTGTTACATAATAGGCCTCCCTATACTTAAAAAAAAATCAATAGGTGCCTTAGACTGCAATATCTATGCTTTTTTTTAGATTTATTTTCCATTTTTCCCTTGAGACTGCAAGGATTGAGATTGACTGCCAGAACCAGAGTTATTTCACATTGATTGCAGCAGCCATGTTCCTCAGCTTCTGAGAAATTTCCGAAAATGATGGCCTCTCTGCAGGATCAGAGGCCCAACAACTTTCCATTAAAGCCTTCCACTCAGGATCGCACCATGATGGAATATTTGGACGTAATGAATTGTTCACAATACCTCCTGCAATCAGAATGAAAGGATTTTAAGACGTTCAAACACTAATCAAATGGCGGTTGACTGTACATTCCTCTTTATTTTCCTCACTTTTATCTCTTCCCCTCTTCCAAAGCATAATATATAGGAGAGCCTGGAGTGTAGCTAATCCTCCAAATGTCTCAAAGACTAGTGGAGGCAAATAGCATCAAACAAAAACTGTCAACAATATACATTGATCTCATGATGCATTTGGTTTATTTTCATTCTATTCTTAATTGTAATTCTTATTTCAGTTATCATCTATGTGTATATATAACAAAATATAACTTCTTGTGTTTGAATTACCACCATTCCACCTTGAATTTCTCAACTGTGCAAATTCATTCCTCTCCTTGGAAGTTAGAAACTAAATTCCTGTTGTCTGAGTACAAGGTGACCATGGGAGTAATTTAAATTCAACAGACTATGTTCTAATCATGCATATAAATATTAACTGAGGATTATCTAGCAATTGAATCATTAATGAATTAAAGGCACTAATTGAGTCAGCTAACATGATGATGAACCCTGGCAGAGAGCACATCTGTTTTTTTTTTCCAGTTCCCAAATTGTGTATTATAATGAAAAGCATAATGTTTTTTTTTTCCTGGTTTTAGAATTCAGATTTGTCTTTTCAGCAAATACAGAATTTTGGAAATTATAGTAGAAAATAAAAGAAAATGGGAGGGAGTGTTTCAAGGAGATCCTTCTTGACAATAAGAAACATTTTTACAAAATAGAACTCGATAAGCTCTTTAACTCTGATGCATCCTCAAGAGTGGTGCACGCATTTCCTTTTCAGTTAACTAAGCTATCAATGGGCTTAATGCTCATCCAGGGTTCATTCTTTAGTTAAATCTGACCAATAACAAGTTGGAAAATATACAGCCTACATCTAACAACTAATAAATAAGTCAACACAGAAATAAATTTCAAAGGCAACCATTTTTCTCCTGTGGTAAGCAATCATATCATGCAAGGCATACTTTAAACAAGGATTTACGAGGGGAAAAAAAAATAAAACACATTAAGTTTAACAGAATATCAAGTGTACGATATTTTCATGCTTACCAATTATAGAAGCACAATGCATATCTGCATATGGTTCCTCCCCCGTAAGCAATTCCCACATAACAATCCCAAACGAGTAAACGTCAATCTACAGAACAGATTTTAAAAGAAATCAACATTTTATAATACATAAAAATGGTTCCATTTTGGTTTAATTCCTCATCTTCCTAATTTCTCATATTAATTTTAACATGCATTATTAGGATGAAGTTTGTGATGTTTGAGTTATCAACCCCCTACTTTAAATTTCATGATGTAGAAATTCAAGATCACTTTTTAAGATAGAAATTGAATTCCTACCATCAAAAAATTAAAGTGTAGTACTGAAAATTCAAATGCAACAAATTATGTATGGATTATCTATAATAAAATTAATATGCAAATTAGAACTAAGAATTGACTATAATTTCATAGAATTGAACCAAATGCAGCATATATGTTATATCTGCAAAAGTGCTTATGTTGTGTATCTTTAGACAAACTAAAGGAGACAAACTTATATGGCTGAAAATTGTAAGACTTACACCAGAAGTAATAACATCTGACACTACCTTTTCAGTTACCATATTACTTTTTCCACTCAGAAGCTCAGGTGCCATCCAGGGTAAAGTTCCACGAACACCTCCTGACACTAAAGTGTGCTGTTTCACCTTAGATAAGCCCAAGTCACCAATCTAGAAGAGCACACACCCAGCTTAAGTAAGTTTCAAATTGATGTGACTGGAAGAAACTTCTATTGTTACTTCAAAGGGAAATTCTGAAACATGGTGATTGAGTATGATAACAAACAAAATCTAAAGAACCATCACAAGATGAAATTATCACACACAACCACAAACTTGACAAGCTGGTGACAGAATTCATGTTCAAGAGGCAAAAGCTCTACCCGTATTTAGATGCATATATGTTATATCTATAACATGTACAACAATATGTCAAATCTGAATCAATGTGATATGTTTCAGCACACCTTACACACAGGACGCTGAGGATCCCTCATATTCACTAACAGATTTTCACACTTCAAATCAAAATGCACAATGTTTTTTCCATGCAAGTATTCCATTCCAAATGCAGCATCCATTGCTATGATGAGCCTTTTGCGACGATCAATAGTTCTGCAAAATGAGAATCTAAGGTCATGCATTCTATATTTAAAATGTAATTTGTAAATATTCCTTACATGTTCTTTTGAGAATATTCCTTCCTTCAGACTTCAGGAAAGATTATGATCTACTAAAATTGATAAAACAAAAAATATAGTAACTGTGAACCCAGTAAAAAGCCATCTAGATGGATGAATACCTATCCTTCTTCTGCAGGAACTGTTTTAATGATCCATTAACCATAAATTCTGTTACAGTTGCTAAAGATCCGTCAGGACCATCACGAACTATCCCATAGAAAGAAACAACATTCGGATGATGCAGTGAACTCAACATTAACGCCTCCTTCCAAAAATCGGCAATCTGCAAAAGCAAAACAAAAACAATTACCAATGACAACCATATGAACAAATACACACATACATCAACAGATATTAATATCATATAAATGATAAATAAGTAACATATAACATAGGAAAAGGTTTTATCTCCAATTTCATATATAAATAGCAAACATGTCATATAAATAATAATAAGTTGATGTCTGGATACTGGACATGATAGAAATACCGGAAAGGTATTCATGATTAACAAAGGTCAAGGAAATAGTCACCCCTATCCCCATTTTGCATGGTATCCATCATTTGAAATAAGTCCCAAAGTTAAACTCAGAATTATAGAATTAAAAAGAAAATGCATGCTCTAGTTCGAAACTGATGGTGATTGCTCCTTGGACTTACAAACTAATTATTTTATATATATATATCTTCCCGAATAAGTATATTGGAGTAAAAACTGAGACTTCGATGGCATAGAAACACCCTGTGGTTGAAATTACAAGAAAATGCTAATCCAGGATTAGTATTTGATGTATTTACTAGGGTTTAGACTACTTCAAAAATTTTCACCAATCTCTTAAGGAAGAAAGATAAGAAGATATTGATACTACCAGACGTTCTCTTTCAGAAGGTCTTCCAGCAAAGCAGCTAGCTTTTATTCTCTTGATTGCTACATCAGAACCCTTCCACTTTCCATGATAAACAGCACCGTATGTTCCAGAACCTAATTCCCGGATCTCCTCCAAATCATCATTCCTTATAGTCTGAAACGATAATGAGCACACTTTCAGGACTAATCATGATGAATCACAAGGAAGGATGAATAAATAGACCAAATATGTCCGAGATGAGAAAATATCAAAGAATGTATATCAAATATGGCAGTTAAATAAAACACAAACCTGCAATCCCCGGGCAATAGCTTCCGCCTCAGCTTTTGTTGGTTCAATTTTTGAAATGCTTGTACTGTCAGTATCAGAATCCAGCTCCAAATCGCCTTGAGCATTCTAAAAAGCAGACCAACATAAAAGAAGGTAAGGTAAAATATACTAACAAGTATCCTAAGCAAAGAAATTTGTTCTCATTTCTCACCAAGGGCTCTGATTTGTTTAAAGCTACTTCTTTTTCTACCAAGTTGTGTTCTACAGAATCAACATTTTCTTCAGCATTGGCTTTCACCTCCTCAGCCTCTTCTAAAGCTGCTTTTTTAACAGAAGCAATCAACTCAGGCAGGAAACTCAAACGGTTAACAGATAGCTTTGCATCTTCAAGAGGAGCACTATGATCTTTTTCA